GAGGGCGGCGGGGCGGGGGCAGCCATGCCTCGCCCCTGCGGCGCGGCGCCGGCACCAGCGGAAACCCGGGACTGGGTCACGTACTCTCCCTGAAAAAGTCAGCTACCTGCTCCTTGTCTGGTCTATTTTGGGCAATAAAGGGTGGCTGTGGTAGTTCAAGTTTTGCTCTGGCCTCCTGTCTCTGACAGTGAAACGTGGGCTGCCTCGAAATAAGGTGAAGGACTGAATTACGTGTTTTATGAACGTTTGAGATTATTTTTTTAATAGCAGATAGGATACTCCTGATGGCACCTAACACTAGCTCATTTTGGAAACTGTCATCCTTGTTTTGTGCTGTTACCGTATAAATATGTAGTCTGTCCTTGAAGCCATGAATTCAGAAATTATGTACTGTGAGGGTCAATTCCACCACCTAATTAAAGAGGGGTTTTTTTATATATAACTTAATGGATTATTTTTATATTTGTTGTGATCCTTCATTTTCAGACATTTACTTGTCTGTCTTTCCGGTTTGATTAATGAGGAAACGTGACTTTTTTAATAAATCCGAAGTATATTCCTCCTTGTTAGCGTGAGCAGTTTTATCTTTGCAAATTCTTTAATTTAAATGTGTGCTTCTGAATCAGTCCGTCTTTCTGTCCAGACTAATGCAAACAACATTTATGCTTAGGTTGTTCTACCGTTACCACCAGTTCGTGCAGAATTCACATGTTCCCCCTGCCCCCGCCAATGATACTGCTGGTCATAAGGACTAAAGCTCTTGGGTTTACCCGAAGCAGCATCAGTTTCCCTGCAAGCTCGGAGATTAGGTGGAACATACATATAAACTGAGGTCTTTTGCTTCAATCTGTCTTGGCATCAGTTTAGTAGCTATAACCATTCAGAAATACAGTATCCTGGCATTATGCAAATAGAGCAATTCTTACTCTCCTCCTTCCCCTCAGTTTTCCACAAGGTGGTTCTGCTCAGAGAGTTCCTTTCATCGTATGCATAGATGAAAGTTGCATTGCGAAACTTAACAACTTGTTTACAGATGCTGTATTACTATCTGTATGTCTGTGCTTATGGGTATGCTTTAATAATAATTTTCTTTGTTCTCATGTACTTTCTTAATGCAAGGACTCTTTTTTTTTTGTGTGTGTGTTCTAGATGGCATTGTCAGACTCAGTCACTACTTGTCTTTCTCCACCTGTGCATTATGTGATTTGCAAACTTGGATTTGAGAAAAAAGACACCTATGATATTAATAATATTTTGTCTGAAAATGGTGAAGTATGTTGGCAAGCTGTTACAGAGCATGTGTGTTACCTCGAATCAGGTTGGTGTTTACCTGCTGTAGTAGTGATACATTTAAGACTGATGCAGAATCTCAGTACAGTTCATAGCAATCTTAGCTTAGTTACAGCATTTTATTACAGTACAACATTAGCTATGCTGCAGATTAGAGTACGTACAGTTCATATCTACAAGGAGCTTTAAATTTTTCATCCGCGTTTGGTATTTGGTTATTGCTGGCTCCTAAGGTTCACGTAATCCGTGCTACACAAGTAGCTGCTCCTTTGCTTCCTCATTCGTCTTGGTTCCCAACTTCATGTGCCTGTACTGCTTCTCTCCTACCTCATAATTGCTTTCTTCTGTGTTCTTTATATTCCTTTTGCAGTAAATTTAAAACACTCTGGGGCCATCAGTATTCCTACTGTTGCTTCTGTTTTTGTTTCTCCAACTTTAGCTGGTACAGAAGTACTGTTTGGTTTCCCTTCTGTATGTAGAACAGTTTATAATTGTTTTTTAACGAAAAAAGAAGTATTTATGCCCTGATGAACTCATTGCATTTTAATTTGCCAAATTGCATCATGCAAGCTCTGTTAATAATTTCCAGAGATGGTAAAAATGATACGTGTTTCTGCCTCAAGCAATATCTTTCAGTAAATCAGAAGAATTTCTTTTCCTATAAAAGTGTCCCACCAAAGAGGAGCAGTGATACCACTCTGTAAGGTACCACATCCCTCTGTGTTCTTTAAAGGGTGTAAGTGGTACAGCTTGACTGAGCCCTCTGAGCCTGCACTAGCTTCCAGCTTGGTTATGTGGAATTTATGTACTCTAGTAGATTCTTCCCATTTCAGCAAAACCAGAACATAATAATCCTCTTTACTTCATATTTTCTTGCATTAAGGTTTTTTTTTTCATTTGGAGAAGGTACTCGATCTTACCTGGTTTCACACTGTACTTTTACTTTTCTGTATCTTATCTGCGTGGTCTTTTGGACAGTAAATTGTAGCGTATTAGTCATGCTAAAATAGTCTGGATAAAATTCTCAGTGCCAAATATGTACACAAGCTGTAGCAGGTTTTACTCCATGTGAGTTTTAAAATATTGGACCTTCGGGAAGTTTGGTACTCTAATCACCTTATGTTTTTCAATTTAAGATCAAAGTGTGGATTATATCAAAAGCATACGATCATTAGGACCTGTATGTGAATCTGTTAATTTGCACTTCAAATCTCTGACCAAGGAGCAATTTGTAATTCAGTATGCATTATGGTTCCGCTGGACAAACTACACAGAGGTATGGAAATGTCTGTTGACAATTTGTATTTTGGCACATGAACCCTTTGTGGAAGTTTAATGTAAGAACACACAAGAGATACCAATGAACCAAAATGCTTAGAATTTGTAACTAATTGTCCTTCTCTGATACGTAGTTCCTTCTAATTTTCCTGACTTTGTAATTAGATTTTGTATAAGTTATCACAAAGAGAAGATGAGGTGCTTTGGACCTGTTCTAACCTAAGATAGAAGGATTTTGTTTTTCTAATAATCTGTGCTTAGTATCAAGTTTTACTGTGTGAAGTTATTTTTGGTAATTTTTATAGATCTAAGGCACTAGATGCATTGCAACTGAAAATACAAGAGGTGCTCTAGGGCAGTTTCTTTCCAGGCATCTACAGTTTTATCTCCTTGGCATGGTTTTCTTTCTACATTTGCATAGCGACTATCACAGAGGAATATTTAGGTTTCTGTGTGCTTTTGACAATTTGTTTTTTCCTTCTGAATATTTAACACAACATTCTTCCTCTCCCCGATTATACAGTTATTTCTTGAAGTATTTGATGTTCTACAATATACACAAACTACAGAAGTTGCTCTTGGCTTAATGAAACTAACATCATGCTTGGAGCGAGCCTTGGGTGACGTAAGTGCCGGCATGAGGAGTCTATTGCAGATTTGGTTTTCTAAGATGGGAACGAGCTCTTGAATTTAATTGCACGCTGAAAAAGTACTATACTGTAGTAGTACACAAATAGCTCAGCTGCATTTTGAGTTGGAGAGATGTTCTTCTCTGGGTCCAGTTGTGCTAATGGAAACATCTTCTGGGGCTCCTTCACCTGTGCTGGTAGAGTTGCTTGTGTGAATGCTGTTACTAACCAATTTCATTAAAAAAGAGGAAAGTTTGCTTAATCAGTGTACGTATCGTAGGTCTTTGTTACTCTGATTTATTTAACTGAAACAGGGAGCAACATACCTTCCACAGAAGATCTGATGATGTAGTAACTTCAGTGAGGAGAGGCAGGAGCATGCAGCTGGAAATGGGCTGCTAGATAACTTCGTTCGTCAAAGCTCTGTTTGCAGAGTGTACATCTGTTTAAATGCTTCGACATGAGTCTTGTGCTGCAAAAACATCTAGAAGTCAGCTAACAACTTGAATTCTAGACCTAACTGATCAGCTGGATAGAGCTGGGATCCATCTTGTAGTCCTGAACGTTTGTCTTGTTACACATTCCCTCTTTCCTTTACCCTGTAGTAGTTAGTAAAGGTATGCACTCTCGTTAAGTTCAAAGAGCAATACTGCAGGAGTTCCGTGACCAGCATGAGGCAAGGAGTGCATACGTGATATGACTTAGACTTAGCAATTCTGATTGGTATTAAGAAACTTGTATTGTGAATCCTTTTTGATGGAACGTGAATTAGGCTGTGGTTCAACATTCGGTGGTAGCACTGCTTAAGTTTGTTTAATCAACACAGCCATCTGCCTTGTTTGCTGGTATTCTGTATGTTATGTGAGTGCAAATATTTGAAGGCCTAGTAGCAAGCTAGATTGATGAATTGGTCCAGGTACCTTTCCACCTTTTTCCCCTACCCCCATTTTTGTTTTTCAGCTGGATCAGTTCCTTGATCTGCTTCACTGCGTGGCCACACGAACAGATGCTACCA